TAAGTAAGACTAATAATGAAAAGAAAAATTAAATGCCTTGGCGATATTTATTCCTTAATTGTCTAAATAAGTAGCTGACCTATGGCTCTAAGAGCTGATCCTATAATCTCCAAGAACAGTGGGAAAAGTTTGACAAGGCTACTTCAGCGTATGCATTTGCAAGAAAACCAAAGAAAAAATACGTTTTTAGTTATTGCAGCAGATGAGCGCCGTGGGAGCGGAGACTTAAACGGCCCGGAACCGCAGCGGCACGAAGCCTAGGAACCGTCTCTGTCTAGTATGATGGTCGCGTCCAAAAAGTAGTCCTTCGATTTTCGTCTGATGGAGTCACAGAAGTGTCATACTGTCCGCGACCGCAATCTTGGCGGTGCCAAAGCAGCGGTGATAGATGTGACAGACACCTGCTTTGGTGAATGTCGCTCTTTAGCTTGACTCTCCACCGAAGCATCATCAGCCAAGGGTTGGGGCATTGCGACGACAACGACATCCGTGATATTGCGTGTTTTTTTTCTAGAACTTCTGTTTCCTACCACCAGGATCGCGACATCTGACAGCAATACACATTTGTGACGTCATTTATTGCTACTCGGGGGCCACGTTTGATGCATCGGGCGCTCTTGAAACACACAAGTGGGAGACGCATTCTAGGCGGCGAATGGACCTTTCCACACGAAAACGCTATGGAGGGGAGGGATAAAGATCTGCTCACTGGTGGCAATCGCCTGTCCCGCTTCATCGGGACAAACAAGTTCGAAGCAAATAGAGGATCTATCATCGTCGTCGCAGTAGGTACTTTTCCGAGAAGAGTTTTGCATACGCCCTGTCTCGCGGGCTCAATGAGTTTACTCTGCTTTCCTTCTACCTCAGCTGATCACGTGACCTGAAAATCCCTCCCTTCCCATAGTTTTTCGAATTCGAGAAATCTGTACGTATGAGACGTGGAAAAAGCCGTAGGCCTTTATTGTTTGTCACTGGGTTACATCTAGAAACGTATCATGCCGCTCGTAGGGTACAAAGCCTATTCTAAAGCTACGTTAATAGCACCAAAACACTGTGGTGTTTTTCATACAAATAACTAAGATGTTTGCTAGCGCTGCCTCCAAGTTGCCCTCGGTGAGTTTGCGCATGCCTCGAGCATTTCTTGGAAAAGCCCAATTTCCGCGATGACGCTTGCCGCTATCCGCAGACTCGAATTTTCTTACGACTATTTTGTCCGTTACGGAAAATAAATAACTAAATAGAATCACTCGCTAGTTGGTAACAAATTAATGCGTTAATAAGATTCGATACGGTTCTACCAAAAACGAACCTAATGCTACAGTGAATTGCAAAATCTAACGAACGTTAGTTTTTTTTTTACTTTGGATTTTAATATTTCGCAGCCACGAGCCGCGGTTACGAGCTTCGACGGCAATTAAGCGGTTAAAGATCGATTTCATATTATTGTTACCCTTTGTTTTTCAAATTTAAAGTATACAGCGATGTCCCGATGGCGCGTTCGACCTCTCAAAGTGACCAACAACGTGACTAATGTTGTTTAGATCTAAGGAGAAACGAGTGATGTAATTTGGTGGAAAACAGCGTAAAATGGCACCGAATTTATTTTACTCGTTAATCGTGTCAAATCTTAGGGAGTGCGTTATAGACCATTTCAATTCAAGTCCAACCGCAGTTGACGCGACGATTGTATTGAGCCGATCGTAAAGCGTCAAAAGTGCATCATCATGGCGGTTATCGGTTTTGTGCCTTGTGATTCATCGACTCAACCGATCACGCATACTGAATGCAATGCGATCCCGCTCTTTTTCTTTTTTGGTTTGTGTTTTGTTTAGTCGGTCCCGGCAAACCCACAAAGACAACACGCATTGTGACAATGCAGATTTGGCACCCTTTGATTCGCCAGATCAAATCGTAGCATCTGCTAAGGTCGGAATTAATCTAAACAAAATTAATATAACGCGTTACACACAAAAAAAATGTATGAAAGATGTTTTTAATTTCTGTAACGACGATTTAGAGCGCAGCTCTTGAGGAGAAGGGGAAAGTACTGAGGGGAGGGTGTGTCCCTCTTCCCTCCTCCATACCCTCTCCTCCTTCCCTTCTCCTCCTTTCATGCGCAAAACGCGCGTCCTCACGCGACGTTTCGGCGCAGTGCCGAGACGTCACGTGATGTTTCGGTAGAAGTCACAGTGACGTTTCGGCAACGTCCCATAACGCACCTAGCGGTTACGCCCAGGCCGACGCCGACGGCGACGCCGCTCAAACCGGAACCGGGCGCCCAAGAGCTGCGCTCAGAAACGATAACGTCCTTAAAGGGATACTGAAGCGAAACTTGAAATACACCTATTATGGTCAGAAATAGGTTCAATATGATCAATGATATTCATAAATCATAATCGCGCGTTTGTATTTTGAACGGATGGCTATATTTTTCACCCTAATGAGCCCGATTGGGCGCGCGATCAAAAATCGGCCATCGGAGAGCGCGATGCGTCTTGGAATATTGGGCGCATTCGTGACGTCACTTGTGCCAGACGGGAAAGGCTACGGCGTGAATGTTGTGGTTACGAGCGTTGCCACTTGGTGGCGCGTCGACGATTGACGACCTGTGACAACGTGGCCGTTTGAGATGTGCAAGGGCTGCACGCACGCTGCACCACGGCAAGTCGGCAACCACGGGACCACGGCAGCACTGACAAAACCAGCTCCGAGGCCAGATTCTCAAAGCGAGCTCACGACGAAAAAAGTGCGCACGACAAATTTGAGAGAAAACCCGTACTCTCGAAACGAAATTGTCGTAACCTTTGCGCAGGTTACGACAGAATCCTACGACAGCTCCGAAGCTGTCTCACGCACTTTTTACGATCAAATCAACAAGGCCGACAGCGTCGCTCAGTTACTTGGTATCGGCCACCAACGGACATTTATTTTTCTACGTGCTCTTCTCGTGCGTCCCGACTTCAACCAGCAAGAAAAAAGGAAGGAGTACTTCAAAAAGACCACGACGATCAAGAACGCAGGATCCACAAACACACGAGAAGAGCTACAACGGCCACGATTTTGCCGACCGAGCGAGCTTGGCAGAATATAGTAGGCCTAGCAGCAACATCGACTCGGCGCACCGTTGCTCCGGCGGTCCTTGGCCAAGACCGTCTCTGTCCATGACCGGCTGGCCTGCTGAATGGAATATGCCCGCGCGACCCTTGTGGACCCTTACCGGATGAGTAGTTTGATCCCTGAACTAAATTTCAGAGGTCAATATTTTCCCCTTGTCATCTCGATCTCCACGTTTTCCGAGACAGCGGTGACGAACGCTGTCGTCGAAAAGGGACTCTCATTGATTCTATCTCCTTGTTTTGTGTGATATAGAGCTCGAATAAACGCCATACGGATTACCTTCGCAACTCGGTGTGTACACTCTGTTATTAGTATGTCATTTTTATTGACTCGACGCTACGTCACCGTCGAGCTATAGCAGTTTGTCGGAGCTACGCGATGTCGGTCTAACCTTTCTTTGCCGAGTGTCATGTCAGTATCGAGTCGCAATCGTAAAAGATCGGTCCAGAAGCGCTTACCGAAACGCGGTCTAACAGAGCGAATCCAGCACTTCGATCAAACGCGCGTGTCCGCTCCGAGTGTGAACAGGTATTTGCGTGGCTCTTGCTGACACCCTCGTAGTTCAAACATATCCTTTTTAACGTCGGCTCGCAGCTCGCGACTCGCAGCAACTAATACCGGCCGTGCCAGAAGCATGCTCGGGTCGTGTCGTGCTAGAGCCGCAACGAGAACGAGCTCACTGTGGCCAACTACGCTTTGGCTTTCTCCACCAAGGCTTTGCAAACGCGTTCAGGCCTAGGCGAATTCTGCCGGCACGCCGTATTGCCACAGAACGGCGCTGCTATTATGGCACAAGTGATGTCACCAGAACTTCCCCCCATCCACCAGATGAGAATTTGAAATCGTTTAATTATGATTAAAATTAGTTCTCCTGTGTTTTACAGCGCAATATTTATATTTCCGAGGTGGTGCCTGTCCCTAGCCCATATTTATGAAACAAAGATCGGCGCTAAAATTTCGTTTCACTACCCCTTTAAAGCGGTACGGAAACAAAAATTGAAATATTCAGATTTCGTTCGGAAATGAATCAAGCATGACGTATAATAACCGTAAATGATAATCGCGCGTTTGTATTTTGAACGATTGGCCATATTTTTCGTTCCAAACGGTGCACTCGAGCAAGCGCTCTAAGAGAAGCGAACGGAGAGCGCGATGCGTCATGGGATATCCGGCGCAAACAAAAACAGAAAGAACAGATTTCCCGCGTTCGTGGAGTAGCAAGGCAGGCGTGGTTATGAGCTTTGCCCTTGGTGGCGTTGTCAGCGTTGTGATGGTGTCAATAGCGTCAGCGCGTTACAACCGAGCCGCTCGAAGTGCCCGTGGGGTGACGAGCATGTGGCTGGCCCAAGGAGCACGTAGCTTCCACAACACTGTCAGCTTAGGGCTGAACGAGGTGGGGAAAGCAACTTTTGTTCGAGTTTTGAGCGACGTGCTAATCTTCTAGGGGGAGAATGGCTATGTCCGGTTGCACGAACGAGGGTCCGAGAAAGAGGGGAGTCCTTCCTCTCCGTCTTCTTGAACCGTTTGGTACAATGCGCGACTTGTGAGTTGAGGAGGGAAGCTAAGAAGGAAAATGTTGAAATACCAAAGAGCGGCGCTGCTCCGAAAGAAACTGCTACGTCACGACTACGTAGCAGTTTCCAGAACGTTGCTAGACTACCTCCCAAATAGGCTCCGCATGCATCCACCAGGTGCACATTGAAGATCCTTTATTTAGCTTTAAAATTAGTTTTCTTGTGCTTTTCAACGGAAGAGTGGTGTTTTGAGGTTAGGGTGCAACATGCAACACATTAAAGCCAGAAAATGAGCGCTGAAATTTCGTTTCCCTACCCCTTTAACAACGCCGCTGCTTCTAACATGTGACTTTCAAGAGTCGTTCTTACCAGTCCGAAGGACATGATGAGTAGTTGGAGGACGTCGGTGTACGTGATGGAGTAGAGGCCTCCTACGCAGGTGTACAGCGCCACCACCGATGCCGCTACGCTCACGCAGGTCACGTAGCCAAGGCCCGTGATTACGCTCACCGTGGCGCCTGCAATTGATTTCGGTTGGCACGTTAAAAAGCGCGACGGAGCGCTCTTACCGCTCATTCACACTGGAAGCGGATCCGCGTTCACAAAGCGGTTGCGAACGCGGTTCTATAAAGATAAAGTACAATTGTACGTGCACCCGATGACATCAACTGCGCGTGCGATTGAACTGGATCTTCATACAACCGCGTTCGCAACCGCCTCTGGAACGCGGATCCGTTTCCTGTGTGAATGAGCGGTTATTCCGGGGGGATAGACGGAAAAAATATAGGACGTGAAGCTTGCATCCTGGAACAGAAGCCTGCCGTCTTTTTAGAGCGCGGCTCTTAGGCGCCCGTTTGCGGGTTGAGCGGCGTCGGCGTAACCGCGCCCACGAACAATGTCACGAGGGTCATCAGTGACATCACGAAGGTCACCAGTGACGTCACGAGGGTCACGAGTTACGTCAGGAGGGTCACCAGTGGCGTCACGAAGGTCATCAGTGACGTCACGAGGGTCACCAGTGACGTCATGATGGTGACGTGTGACATTACGAAGGTCACCAGTGACATCTCGAGGCAACAAATGACGTTACGATAGTCACCAGTGACGTCACAAGGGCCACATCTGATATCACAAGGATCATGTGTGACGTCACGAGAGCCACTATAGACGTCACGAGGGTCACCAGTGACGTCACAAGAGTTACATGTGATGTCACGAGGGTGACATGTGATGTCACGAGGGCGACGTGTTACGTTACGAGGGTCACGAGTGGAGTCACCCTCGTGAAAGTACACGCACATACCCTCCCCTCCTGCTCAAGAGCTGCGCTCTAATTCGGCATCACAGGGAATTGTAAACGACTTTTATTTTTTATCTCTGATAGCACGCAGGGCGTAGCCTAGTATGTTCACGATTTTCGGGTCGTTTTTCGGCGTTCTTATCGGCTGATGGCGCGACTTGACTTGACAGTATTCATGCGATAGGGAGTCGCCAGGCTCTGCATTTCTTAGACTCTCAGTGACTATTAACCGCATTTACGACGAAAGGCGTCACTAGGGTCGCGATTTGCGATTGGTCAAACGCTCACTATAACGTATTTATTCTTTTATTACCGCCGGAAATCAGCACAGCGTCACAGGGTCAAGTGTGACTACGTTGGTTTATGAATGGGATGAGTACGAGCTTGCATTGTTATTTTTAATTATAAAGAACACTACACCGACTTGACTTCCCAACGTCAACAATTTAATCGGACGTTTCGTCTCCCACGCACCAGCCATCATCGCTGCGTGCTCAGGGACACGAATGAAAATAGTACAGAGACCCGAAAGCTATTCAAGGACATCCATGAATGGGGCCTCGGTTGGCATGGCTGGAGGATGCGTCATTACGAATGCACCTGAAATATAAACACTTTCGGGGGCCCCACCTTTGTTCTCACGCCAAGGTCACTGTGCTCTGAAAAGCAAAGCTTTGACCCGTTTTCCAGCAGTGATCAACTAGTTCAGTTTTCGACCTCGTGGAATATGTGTCCCTTTGTACGTCCCTCTTGTTTACTTTGAGGGGCTGTTCCATTTTTGACCAGTCTCACCGACGCAGAATGAGTCACACTCCTGGCAGAATCCTGGTAGTTCACCAATACCTCCTCTAATAAAGCCGTGGTTCTGAATCTTAGCGCGGGGCCCAGACTGCACACGAGTGCTGGGTAAAAATCAGGATAGGGATCGTGTTGGCGGAACATCAGTTGCAGCCAAGCGCTGACGCGAACCGATGCCTGTGCCTCGCACTGGCACTGGCCTTCGGTATGTGACTTGGAAAATCTATCACCATGCCATCTAGAAGCTATTGAGTTCACCCGTCTGATGTGCACCGTAGAGAGACAAAGCCCACCTAACGCGTTCAAGATGGCGCCGCACCAGAAGAGTTCTCCGGCCAGGGCCGGAATGAATAGCACCGCCGTCATGCGGCTCCCGATGGCCTGCTCCAGGGGGTCCAAGAGGGTCACGTGGCCGGCACGCCACATACGACCCGAGAAGAGCGCTCCAACTGAAAGAGATCGACAGCTTTTGCTAGCCGCTATAAATACATTGCGGAAAATGCCGTAAAAAACTACCGCGGGGAAAAAAAAAAAAAGTTGACAAAACCAATATTTTGGTCGTGTTATTCTTTGTTCAGAAGTGAAGCTTGGCCGCGTTTTTTAAGGCATGATTATTCAAAACATACAGCGAAACAGACGGGATAGACTGACCTGACCTCAACACAGAAGTGGCGCCCCGTGAGTTCCTTTGTCGGCTAAAGAATTTGATTTTTTTTTTCCAGGACGACAGCATGGCCGATGATTGTGCGGGTTTCAGTGCACTCTAAGAAAAAATGGAGGAAAAAGGTAGCAACGTCCCGTCTTCCTCCCTTCTGCTAACGCGCCCCCAAGCGGATGCGAGAAACAGGGAGGAACGAAACGTTTTTCTCCTTCTTCAGGCAGACAGGGGAAAGCTTGCCCGCTCTCGACTCACCTTCTTTCGGGTTCGTTTTCTGAGCACGTCACGCACGTTGTTAATTATGTTGTTGGGTTGATAGAGCTTCAACGGCAACGAAGGCCGCATGTAATTTTGTCGTCTAGTCCAAACGTGCAGAACATTTCGGTTCCATTGACATTTTTACCACTAATTTTATCAAACGAGCAAACGAAGCCGCTAGAAATGGATACTGGGTAAGATGGGCCTTCTTGGATTGCGGGACCCACGCCGACCTACAGTAGCGGAACCACGCGAAACTGCGTTGACGTTTTCGACGTTATGAAAATCGCAGGAACTGCGTCCACGACAGGCAGGTTTTTGCTGCCGGCTGCCTGGGTGCCTTCCGCACTGAGTTCGGATCTGTTTTCCGATGCCGAGTGCCACTTGGCGTTCAACGTGGTTCTGTATTTCTGCGTGTCAGCAATATAGCAGCAACATCGTGATGGCAGTGTTGTGGGTTGTGAACAGAAGACTGGAATTATCGCCGATGCGACCGTATGTTCGCGTATCAGTGGTGTAACAACTGGATGAGATGACGCAAACTGTCGGGCATTAATGCCGCTGGTCGGGCCGTGATCGAAGGGGGCGGGGTGTCGCAGGCTGACATTCCGCTTTACATTGAAAAGTTTAAGATCACTTGAGGGATTAGGCACGTGCAATCGATCGACTTGCGGATAGTCATGTTGGAACGCTGGTCTGAACAGGGAGCTCCTATCGTACAGTGGCCAATTTAACTCGGAATTGTCTCGTCCCCAAGAGCGATTGCGCTATGGGGCAAGGACAACAGTACAAAATCGTGACGGAAAGTACGCATATTTACAGTGTGGAATTTTAGCATTAAAAAGAAATAGTACGTAAAATCGAAAAAAAAGGTACCCTTTATTGTCCTGTTTAAATATACTATGGTTCCTCCAAAAACTGCCCTTTAAGTGGCGCGCTGGGATGAGCGCTAGACGTTTTCGAGCTCGCCACGGCGTCGCCAAATACACTTAACACCTGCCGCAAGTCGCGGCTTTGACTGCATTCAGGTTGATCGAAAAACGCTTTCTCTGCCCGTGAAGCATCACTTCCAGCTGAGTGAAAGTCCGCTCTACAGAGACTAATTCAAGACGGCAATTGCAGCCAAATAGAAAAACAAACGCTACAAAAAAATACAGGCTACGAACGACGTGTTTTACGGGGAACCAAACTCATGGCTTCGAACCGCATTGGAGCGGCTTGATTTATTGGCTTTCAAGTAATTACGGCATGATCGAGCGTTTACTTTTTAATAAGAGATCCTTCCCCTGAGCCATTCGATATACTCTCAGAGGTAAGACATTGCTGGAAAAAAATGAGCATGCTGGGAATATTATTGTTGCTTAGGGAGTCACCGAGATATTCCGTACGTTCAAAACGGCCATTATAATAAATGTATGTTCACCTGATGCTTGCAGTATGCGGAATGTGTCTACATGTGTTATAGCAGAGGTCGCAGATCAAGGTTCCCGAAGATCCCGATGCGTAATGGTGACCTTAGGAAATAAAAATATTTTGTGTAGAGCATGAATTGGGCGGTACCTAGCGCCACCTAGCCTAGCTAGTTGCAGTTACTCTGCTTGACTCTGCTATCGATTTAACCATTCGAGCTACGCGCTCAACAGCGGCTTCAAGTTTGTTCTTTTGAGAACGGCTTCTGGTTTCGCGGATTGGTTTTCCATTCCTTCGTGATGTGCGGTTGGCGAAGGAATTGTGAGTCGAGGAACACCAAAGGTAAGACGTAAAGGGCGCGAAGTAACTGGGTTACTGTTTTCTGTTTAACATCGCAGTGCTGACGACAAGAAGACTGAGTAACTGCTTTCGAAACGGAAGTTTCTGTACCTTCGGGGAAATCTGGCTTCGAAAATAAACACAGCTCGCGGAAAGCTCGTGTTACGCTTTTATTTGCTGCTCCTCTCGTCCCGTTAAGCCTCAAGATCGATTTGCTCGATCCAGGGCCGCTATAATGAGATGCAGGCGACGTAGGAACTATTTGCTCGCCTGCTTCAGGGACGAGAGTTCCTCCCTTTTTAAAGGAACATAGGTTACAAAACCGTTCCTCCACTTATGGAGGACCGTCGATACCCTTAATTTTTCTAAGAGTGTGAGGTGTTATTGGCTTTGTGTGTTTCCTTTGTTTGATCGTGTATATAGGCTGCGCCTTGATGATTAAAACTTCAGTTGTAAGTTCACTGGTTGTTTGTCGCCTTTCTTCCGTCCAGTCTGTTTCGCGGCACGTTTTAAATAATAATTATTTGTCTTCGTCCATGCTATCTTTTCACGTTATTTTCCGTGATGCGCTGAAGCTAGACACGCGTGCGTTGCTGTACTCGAACAACCAGGGCCTTAGAGAAGAGACAGAGACAAGAGCAGAGATGGCAAGGGCCAGCACCTCCTATAGTACGTTTAAGCTTAAAGGGGCCCTGCAATCATATTTAAACGTCTAACTTTTTTTTTGCGGTTTCCACGTCTCTTGGGGTCCGGGCAAGTGAGCGGGCGACGAGACAGTAAGTAAATATCAGTGCGTCATATTTTAACCGGACGACGCGGAGACCTCCGGCACCTACGAGGGCGACCCGCGTTGCCGAAAGCGCGCGATTTGTGACTTCTTAGGTCCTGGACTTACTACTAATCAGAGCCGCTAAAAGCTGTTTTTTTTAGTCTAGATACAAAATATAAGTGTCACGAACGGTTTCAATTATGTATGAAAGTAGTTTTTTTCAGTATTTTAGATCAGAAAAGAAACAAGTGCAGTTTATAAACCACGGAAGCAAGAAATGACCCGTTCACATATACCCGCCACCAAGCGGCGGAAAAAACGACGCATACTAGAAAGGGCTAGTGGGAAGAAGCGCAGGATATTTCTTTCGGGTGTCCTGCCTCCACCAGGCGCTCGTTGCATTCCGTTGCGCTTTTGCTGCGTGTCCATGCTCGAAGTTCATGGGCCGGCAAAGTATTGTCGAAGGTAGCAAGCTTGTGCTAAAGGTGGAACAACTGGAACCCGCTCGTGGCATTTTTCTTTCTCGCGTATAGTAGCTATGAGCCGATAAAATGGGTGAGAGGAGGAGTCGACAGCGCGCTTAAACGTCAGAACGCCGAGCTCTAGGTCGAAATGTTAGTGGGTAGACCGAAATTTAATAGCTGCCATTGTCTCGACTGCACTTGTCGAACACGCTCGAACGCGGAACGCCGGCGACCAGCGTTTTTGCATTCGCATTCGAACGCGCTCGAAAGTGGAGGAGAGACAAGACGCAACCTTTGTTTTTAATGCATTCGTCGAACGCGTTAGAACGCGGAACGTCGGCGTTGGCCCTTTGGATTTCCAATTAAAACCCGCTCGACGAGTGCACTGGAGACAGGGGCAGCTAGCTTCTGGTCTACGGAACAATCATTCCAACCAGAACTCGGCGTTCTGCATTCCCCACGCGCTCTCGTCTCATACTTCTTCAGTTCCACTGTGCATAGTTTCAAACCAATGTGACGCTATCGGGAATACAAGCTCCCTGAGTCGGTGTGCCCTAACCCCAAAGCCTAAAATAAATTATCCCTTAGTACTCCCGCAGCTAACTGATACCGCCAGCAGCAGACGCGAGTATTACACTTTACAGCCACCGACCGGACCACATATTTCATTAATGTTTGGAGGTGGGTTGGTCGATGGTGCATACTAAACATATAGTTAAAAAAGCGCGAAAAAAATACAACATAAATACAAGTAGACGAAGGGACTCAGGCGCAGCGCTGTGACTGTGTTTAAGTCCTGCCTGAAGGAGCGTTTAGAACGTATAGTCAACAAGAAGTTGGGAAAATATTAACCCGCAAGCCGCATCTTTAACCGCATGCGGAAAACTCTTCTTTTTTTTCGACATATATTTTCCTTTAGAAATCCAGTATCAGTTCACAAATATTAACAGTCTGTCAAAAATTCAACGACACGCGGGATACTCTTTGGGGACGGGGGAAAAATAATATTATATTGAGGGAGCCTTCACAAAATTTAGCACAAAGACTAATTGTTTTCTCTTGTACAAAAGTTAGGACTGGGTGATTGCTTTCTATCGCATTCTCAGTGCTAATATAAAAAAAAATGGAAGATAATTTTTTCTTCAAACATTTATCTCTGAGGCATCTTTTGCATAATAAGCTATTTGTCCTAGAAAACTTCTTATTTGTTTAACTATAGAACAATGAAAATCAGTAAAACCTTCTAAATTTAGCAAATGTGTACCAGAAAACATTTTATTTGTTGAATTTTTAGAAAAAATGCGCAATACTCGTTCACTTTATAATTGCGCATTGAGCAGGTGTCACAAAATAGGTCTGTACGACACGAGAGCGCAACGACACGAGAGCGCATGTCCGCGCCTTGGGAATGACTGGTGTTTGAGTCTTCAAATATACATGTTTTCCCGGATCGAACGCTTTACGCCCTTTTATTGGTTGAGTACTCAGACCTGTGGGAAGTCTAGAAAATTCAATTTTCTCAAACTCGAAATGAAGAAGCAAGATACAGAGTGTCGGAAATAGTTGTTTATCAAGTGCCGTTCCATAATATTTAAGAAATAAAAAAATAAAAGACTGAATGATTGCGCGAAACCTCGGAGGTAGTCCAGCACGCACCTTTGGTCGTACCCTTCAACTAGCTTGCTCAGATTCATCGCTACGCGAACGTAGGTGGCCTTGCTGCACCTTTGTGGCTCTTTACGAAGTACATCCGACAGCTTCTGCTCTGTCAAGCTCTGCTCTCTTTGAAATGTGGCCACTAGCTTGTACGTTCCCGGATGATGCAGCCCCAAGGACTTTGAGAACATTGGGCCAGGACTCGACGTGATTGTTTGTCCTCAATCGACACGTACATATTTTACCAATATAGGTAAAATATATTGAGCAATAAACTTTTAGTTCGTTGCCCAACATATTTTACCATATATCGGTACCTCCAATGTCCACCAACCTTGAACAGCATATATCGAAGACCATATCCACAAAGCACAAAGCCCTTTTTTAAACAAATATTGTTTTGATAAAAAAAAAAAAACACGTCCTGTATGTTGCATTTAATTTACAATATTTTTGGGCAAGTAACTTACGTGCAAAAACTGCGCTATCCGAGAAAATATGCGTTTGAAGACTCTAATACCGATCATTCTCAAGGCGCGCCCGTACGCTTTCGTGACGCGTGCTCTAATGGCACGCGCTCCCGTGTCGCGGCTCTCTCCCGTCGTGCGCTCTCGTGTCGTGCGCTTTTGTGGCACCCTTCCACAAAATAGACCGTTTTCGAAAGTGCGCTCCATCTAGTTGCTGCTGCGCCAATTAATCGAGTCCGTCTTTGTTTGGGTACGTACTCCGAGCATGCATTGAACACTTGGGTAGCGTCAGTGTTCGGGACCAGCTCGGCCCAGCTTGTAGGAATACTGGTGCTGCGTCAACAGCCGGTGAGGATTCGTATCCAATCACGCCCCCGTACACAAGAAATGGCCACCGCCAATATTTCTTGAAGGGGTTTTAGTATTAATTTTATAAAACAAACAGAAACCTGCAGAGGTATATTTTCTTGGTATTCATTTTAGTAAACGATTAACCTATTACTTTAATAGCCTCCCTTAGCGAAAAGTAATACGTTTGAAATATACCACATTCGAATTTGAGTGTATTTGAAATACAGTTCATAATTGTAAGTACACGAAAAATAGACCGAAAATATAAACTTCTTTTTTTTTACTTAATACTAAAATATACTTCTAAAAATCATTTTAAAATACCTTTACTTAAACTACATTTGAAGTTCCCTTCATGCGTTTTGAAATATGTAAATACTAAATTAATAGAAACAAAATACCTTTCACATATATTTCTTGAAATATTTATTTAATTCATGCAAAATATACTCCAACCCTAAAAAAATGGAGCAATCAAAAATACGTTCAGAATACTCTTAAAATGCCTGAAAATCGTAAATACTGTTGTGTTATACTCTAAGTACCTTTTGACTGCAATACTTTGGTAATTTGACTTAACCTACCAAAATATTGAAAAGTTCCCCTTCTAGAAGTTCACTTCAAGCAGATATGGAGTACACTGAAGCGCCTAAATACAACATTTGATTAGTTTGTCAACTGAATTGCGCAGCATCGCACTGATAAATCAGCCCAGTTTATGTTATTGTTTCCTTTTTCCTATCAAGAACACACCTGATCAGTTCCTTGCACACCAATCACAAACGGGGTTCGGGAACTACAACCACATTTGCTGATGCTGGAAAGCTTCAGCAGGTGCTGTGAACAGGTGCGTTTGGCGTGGTTTTGTTAGCGCAATGTTAGTTCGCTGAACGTGTATACTCACCATTGTACGTGATGCGAATAGTGACTTTAATATAGTGACATATTAACCACCACATTAAATAGTCTACTACTAAAAAGGAAAGGCAAAATGACTAGTGTAAAATACTTATTTTTCGTGGGCTCAATATTTCACGATTTAGGTCAAAGTTGGAGTTTTGGAATAATTCGCAAATTCTAATTTTTGGCGACGCGGTGGGATCGCAATATACATTTTAACGTCTTTACATTTTGCCGGAATTGTTCACGTGACCTATTTTTCGGAATTGTAGGCGATTCGCGAGCTTTGCGAGATTTAGGTCCTCAAGAAAATAAAGTCGTTTACAGTATTTTGAAGTGAAGAAACTGTCTTGATTCGCTTTGTCCTGAGTGGTGCTACGCAGAGAAGCAATAACATGTATTTTATGAGCCATTTGTGTGGATATTGTTTTAAGGACTGCGCCGTATTGTTTTTTGTTGTACGAATGCTTTTTAGTAAGAGATATCGTCCACGAACTTCAAAACACTGTTTCCCCTTTGACAGACTCCCGAGGAGAAGATCGAATACTTGGAACCATAATAAGCGCAGAGGTGGTCACCAAAAAAATGATTACCTTCATTATGTAGGCTATATAAGGCTCTAGAGCAGTCAACGGGACTGTGAATGAGCTGTTCAGTGCGTCATGGTGTTTGTGTTTGCGTTCATTTCTATGGTAGCTTCGTGATATGTATTTAGTAGCGCCTTCAAATACCACAGGGACACATTTGCTGACAAAATCGAAAATAAAAAAAATTGTGTAACCGGTTTTTATTGCTCAAATGGCATCTTGAGTGTGAAGGGGTAATATTTTTGGTATATCTAAAATATTTTTTGATTCATATTTATAATCTATTTTGAATACCTTTCGCGCGTATTTCGAGTGCGGCCAAAATAATACAGAATAAATACAAAATGAATATTCGTATTCAATATATTTCAACTTCTTTTGAAGTACGGTCTCTTTTTGCTAAGGGCTGCCTGAGATTTCTTTAAAATACAATAAATATGCTAGTACAGCTAGTTTTAAATGCGTAGTTTTAGAAATGTTTAAAGTGCCCCATTAAACACCTCTAAGTCACTCAAGGTGACTGCTCACGCCGAAGAGAATTGTGTATAGCGCCCTACTAATTAAGTGACAAATAAAGTTAATTTACATTGGACATTAGGCATTATACGCACTTTTATACCAAGCAGCTCTAAATATCTCGAGATCGAAACCGAGCCATTTGATGCCTTTGATAATTTGAAGAGATCTACTATAGTCCAATACCAGTTAAGAACGTGCCAAATAAACACCACTTGAGTGTACAGGCCGCGACATTGATTCACAACGCGGGCCAAACAGGAAAGGCGTCAGCCAACACGAGTTCTGGGACATGTGGGATTGTGGAGGAGAAATATGTTGGCAGAAGGAGCGCGAGAGTTCATTCATTCATTCATTTATTGATATTGTCAGCCGATTGGGCTCTTAGATGGAGTCCGTATACAAAATTAAAAGATGAAAGTAACCATTATAGAAAGATTAATTAACAAGACAGTGGATTGCACAAGACCGCTTCATACATTTAAACACTGGGTGGTTGAGAGTAGAAGTGCTGCATTCCTAGCTTGCGTATGAGTATAGTGAGAGATTAAGTCTGTAGCGCGTTCAGTCGTTATTAAAACGATGAAGTGCACTTTCCGTCTACCTTCGTATGCAGAATGAATTAGGGATATGGGTACACAAATCCACGTGCCAAAACACCCACACGGCGTCCCCTGTTAATTTAGCAGGACGCTAACTCGCTAAATTTAGCTGAAGACCGAACAGTACTGCAACGCAACAGAAATCTTAAATTTGCTTCCATTAAAATATGTACTACATTATGCACCATGCTGCGCGCCATTACAAAACTGCTGGAGAGGCGTGATGAACCTACCAACAAAGAGGCTGACAGAGTAGCCCACAGGAGTCTGGCACCAGAGAACACCCCGCACGGCGGTCTCTTCCACGATGCCGCTGAGGAGACCTCCGTCGACCCAGGTGGCTACGCAAAGACAGTCAAATAGAAAATCCGCCAAAGTACAACAGAATTTTTGTGCCAAAATTTGCTTTTTGTCAGGGAATTTAAGGTTTTAGATAGCCCGAGGAAGCCAAGGTAGAGCGAACTTGACCTTCTTTGCCAGAGTATGGGCATCTTGGCCCTAGATTGCCAAACAATTTCCAAAGTTAGGCTCCAACTGCGAGTAGTCTGGCTGTAATCTAGCATCCTTGAGCCTAAAGGCTCATTCACACTGCCCCATTTTCTTACGTTAAGTTACTTTACGAAATATTACGTTGAAGTCACCGGTACCTGTGTGCTTCATATTAAAAAGAAGCTACGGAGCTTCTTGAAAAAAAAAAAAAGGGGTTAGAAGTGATTTTACTGTATTTCTACCCCGTGAACCCGAATACCCAAACCATTTGCTGCGCAAGTATTGTTAAACGCAAAACCAAACGCGAAAGACAGTCGCTGTACGTGACGTCATCGACGGATCTTTTGGCTGCCCAAGGCTAGGCAGGCGGGGCTTCACGCCTATTTTGAAATTGCTCGTATGGCTTTCCGGGGCGTCGCATTGCAATATAATTATGATATCTGCTATTCTAAAGGCCAAATGAACGCAATTCAAGCGTTCTTTTTTGTCAAATGTAGATATGCCACATCTTCCCTTTAATCGAGGCTATTAGTTCAAGGAGAAAGCACGACACGCGACATCCTCGACACGAACGTTTCGGTGACTTACACATAACTTAACTTAACGTAAGAAAATGTGCCAGTGTGAATGAGCATTAAGTCTGCAAACGAGAGCCGAATTTTTTTGGGAGGTTTATTGGGACATTTTACGCCTAAATTGGCAGACAAGTGCCAAATTTGGCCTTCCCTACTGGTTCTTCCATTCCTGATGGCATCTTTTGCTCACATCTGGCAACTGAACAATTATTTGGCAAGCGGCCCCTGCCCCCCCCCCCCCCCTCTTTAAAAAAAGAAGCCTTTAAAAAAAGAAGCCATAAACGCGAAAGAAAAGTAATCTGGCACAAACTAACGCCTTAGAGCAAAACCGGATTAGGCTTATGCTAGTCCCCAAAGATTGCCAAGCTCGCATCAAGTAAGGAGTTTCTCTGGAGCGCTATTTCGTGCTCCTCAGCCTATTCGAAACCACCCGCAATAATTGAAGCCTACGAACGTCCTCCTACAGTCAAACCCATTTATAACGAATAGCAGGAAACGCCCCGATCAGTTCGATTGAGCAAATAGTTCAATATAGCAGAAACCATTTACAAAGAACTTCCACGATTCTTTCGTTGTAAGGTGAGAGCTTCTCTTTTTTTCTTATCTCTTCGCTTCTGCCTTGTAACCAGAGCTGGCAGTAATGCAATTACTGTAATGAAATTACAGTAATTTAATTACTTGTACCAGTCATTAGTAATGTAATTCATTACTTTTTGTAGCAGGTAATTTAGTAATGTAATGAATTACTCCAGCGACGGTAATTGTAATTAAATTACCTAATTACTTTTTCGCACCAGGCATATTTTTTGTGTCCACAATACACAAGAGCGCTCTTCTTTTTATTTTACTTTTTATTTTTCCTCTACAGCTTTCTAAAAAACGCTCTTTGGTCGCCGCCATGTTTCTGATGCTAATGCGGCTGGTGCGACTCTCGCGCCCGCTATCAGCTAGACATTTTCTGCCACTCTCTTGAACTGTAAAAACCCGCTCAGCGCGATTCTCTACCTATGTTTTGCGGTTTTGCATTCGACGTTTCCTGGCCCCTCTTAAAAGTGTCCGCTTACTTTTTCTGATACATGCTGCGTACCCTCTCTGTGTTATCTTCCACTGTGAGAAATAGGGGTGGTAAGTTTCTGCCATTCGAGCTTTTCTGCTTGACATTCTCGGGAAACGAAGGAGGGGAAGTAGGTCGAACTAAGTCCCCTGGTGGAACGGCCCTCGACGCGATTTTGCGAACAATGACAATTGTTCTCCCCCCCTCCCAGAGATAATCCGCGTAGGATCCTCAAACATCTCCAAAAATAGTTGTCCGGGTTGGGGTGGGAAACGGATCAGTCGCGTGCGTTCCTTTGTCTATTGGTAAACATGTTATTTGTGAGCGTGAAAAATGCATTCCTTTCGGCTATCTTCTGTTGTTAATTAATTTCGACAGCTAAACGCTTTGTCGTTTGACACGCGGCTAATCGAACGGCGCCGTAAAAACTTACCGTAAAAAAAAAGAAAAGCTAACATTCCAGCTGCATTCGTTCTGTTACGCGCGTACCCAACAAAAATAGTTTACTGCTTTTTTTTTTCAAATGTAGTACAATGCTTCCCAATGTCCTCGGGAAAATACATGCACCATGAAACACAAAATGCAGTGGGAAAACACGAGAATTTAGCCGCCAGCAGTGTTTGAAACTGCGCCTACACAGGCTGCGCCTGTGTCGGCGCAGCCTGTAAAAGTATACAAACGTAATGCGAAAGTAATTTCATTACTTTTAAAAGTAATTTGTAATGGTAATTAATTACTTTCTGGCTGTGGTAATTTGTAATGTAATTTAATTACATTTCAGCAATTTTCAGCAAAGTAATTAGTAATGTAATTTAATTACAAAATATGAGTAATTTGGCCAGCTCTGCTTGTAACCCCGCGCAAAATTCTTTTCATGATTTTTTTTTTTTTTTTTGCTTTCGCGCAGAGTTTGTTTTTTTAGCTTATCTCCTTTCTTTAATCGCTTCTCTTTGTGGGCTACCGCTTTGAGAGGAACTTTTTTCTGTGCGTGCGTGCTGAGTGTTTTTTGTTTTTTTTTAGCTTTCTCCCCTTCTGGCCTGCTTCTCTTCACTCAATTTTGTTCGCGGCTTGAGCTTTTGAAATTTGTTTTCTTTTTCCAACTTTTTTTTTTGAGGGGAGGTGGGGGGAGGGACAGGGCTAGAAGTCGTCCGTTTGCGCGTTTTTGGAAGCCTTCCCGGGGGGAAAAAGCTCTTTATAGCCAATATGTTTTTCGTTATAAAATGTACTTTTTACATGCATTTTTATTTAAATTTTCCATGAATTTGATATCGACACTAATTCGTTGTACGTGGGTTTGTTCTAAACGGGTCCATGGAACGTCATCCCAGTCAGATGGCGCCAACTCAGCAATTGGACCCAAGCCCGATGCCGAGCATTTTTCAATGCGTTGATTGGATACGAGGCCCAACCGAACGTCGACGCAGCACTCGTCTCTAATCTCTGTCTTCGCCCAATCTCACCATGATGATGTTGAAATTCCAGTGCACAGGCTTTAAATTTGCGGAGCTCAAGTTTGTCGGCTTCTTGCGCAGGGGTTGCACTGATGTCAGAACGTCTAGCTCTGAATGTCTCTGACAGAGGGATTGTGGGTAGACCTCGATGCTAGCTACCTTGAGGTCTACCAACTATCCCTCAAGTCGGAGTCATTCAGAGCTGGGCGTTTTTCTGACGTCACCGCAATCCCTGCTGAAGAAGCAGAGGAACTTGCGCGTCGGATACAACGGCGTACCGAACGCGTCCCCGACTGGTGCGTTGGGCCGCCATTACGCCCATGCATCAAAAGTGGTCCCCGTTGTGTGAACAAATGGCGTCACAAACGTGGAAGTGCCATGCTGTCGGGTGTTGCAATCCTGCCGGTGGGGCGTGAAAGATTTGGAGAAAAAAAATACGAGTGAAGGTGAGTGTAGCTGTCGTCGCGGCGTCCCAACTCCTGGGTGTCGAAGCTTCCGTGGACTGGCAAGCTGGAGAGCAACCTGCAGCAGCAGAACCGCTGTATCGACCACCCTGCAACACGCGGGTCATGAGTGACCCTCGCGTTGTATCATGGAAACTTTTCCATAATGCAACGCGGGGTAACCTCGTGACGTCACTCGTGACCCTCGTGACGTCACTATGGGAAATGTCCCATAATACAACGCGCGGGTCAAGAGTGAGTCCTGCGCGTTGCATTATAGAATGTTACCCATGATGCAACGCACGGTTACATTGACGGCGACGGCGACGCCACTCAAGCCGCAAACGGGCGCCGAAGAGCTGCGCTCCAAAACTCGTTTTTACACAACACTCATCAATATGCTTTGATCCTTCATGGTCGGTACGGTCACTTAATCAACATCATACATTAATCCCCACTTTCCTTATCATCCTACATACTCTGAGGTTCCCCTTGCACAAGGCAACTGCTGAATGATATCCTTATGGTACGACGTCACGGCAAGGCAAATCATTGTCGTGACGCCAAAAAAAGGGACCGTAAGGGGGAGTCACCAAAAAATTGCAGCGCTCATAGTACAGTGTGCTCGAATTTTAATACATGGCTTGCACTGACATCACATCAGCGCTAATTCTGGTGGCCTTGCTGCTGATCGTGTACGTCCTGCTACGATGACTGCAGCGCGTTTTTGATTAGTGTGTTTAGCGGCCTATCCTATCCATACATCAAAAGTGGCCCAGAAGTTGCAACAAGTGACGTCACTGTAGCCGACTTACGTTGTTGTTGTTGGTTGTCACAATTTTGGCCGTTGGTGCTAGAAGTCCCGGCAAGAACGAGTGATCACGGGTGTCACTGTTAGCGTTGGGTCTCAACTTCTCGCTGCCCCAGTTTTAATGGTATGCCAAGCTAGAGAGCACCCTTAGCAGAACAGGTATCTGCTACATATACCGGCCTTGCTGTGAGACTGCCAGGACAGCGACGAAAACATGGCACATTTATGGTGTCATCAGGCGGAACTCTTGGGAGCATTTCTTAGGACGCGGCAAACTCAGCAGTCGGACACGGGTTCTAGGCAGCATACTTTTCCCGCGTACGTTCCGCACCACCAGATTTGCTTTCCTTTGCGACAACAAGTAGGAACATAGCCTCCTCTATACTCGCAAAGTCTGGCAGTTCGATGACGGAGCCATAGAGTGCCCGCTCGCAGATTTGGAGCGCGAGGATCTGGTAGCACAGAGCATTTCGCGGGGAGGCTATAGTTAGCGCACAGCGTTTGCTGTGCGCTGACTATAAGCATTAGCATAAGCTAATGTACGCTTTACTGACTACAAAAGAAATAATCGAGGTTTTCTTGGCCCTACTGTAAAAACTCGGTGTTTTCTTTATGTGGTATTTGATACGTACTTTAGCTATTTAAAATGTTGTACCATCACGGCAATCAAGCCCCTCGTAAAATTTCGGGCCGTCTGTTCAACTGTAGGGTGCTGTACATCGAATTGAAATTTTGGGGTGTATTATATGGGGAAAAGGGTGTAACGATACACCATTTTGCACCCTTTTTTCTTGAGAGTGTAAGGTGGGCGGGACAAGCACGTTTCGGCGTCTCGCTGCAGCGGTGTGCTCGTTACATGCCTTTTGTCTGCCGCCCTACTTTTTTCACCTTCGGCTGCCCCGGCTCGTGGCAATCTGCCATGCTTTGTCAGTATCGATGAGCCTAAGGTAGGAATAACCTCCAGCGTGATTCGATGATATCTCGTGCAGGCAGGGCCGTACCCAGAAAAATATTTCGGGGGGGGGGGGGGGGGGGGGGGGTTTCGGGGACAACGGCGGCCATTTTGAAAATGTCTATTGTCTTATTTTTGCCTATGAATCATGTGCATCGGTGGCATATAATGGAGAGTTATAGCAAACCGGAGAACCGGTCCCGGTTTGGTACCCGGTAGCCGACCGGCGCCACTGCGCGTGCGCAGAGGTGGAGATTAAAATCGGCTGGCTGCAAGTGCACCGACCAGGGCCGTACACAGAAAAACATTTCGGGGGGGGGGGGGGGGGGGTTCAGAACCCCCTAACCCCCCCCCCCCCCCCCCCTGGTTACGGCCCTGCGTGCAGGCCATGTATACACAACGTGGGACATTCTTCTTGCGGTATACCGATGATGGTGAACACTCCGACAGCAAGGCTCACGCTACGGCCACCGAGCATCAGGTCCTCGCTTGGGTTCGTCCGGGCTCCCCCTCTTAGCCTCTTCCGGGCACCCCAGAAGCCCACGGCCACGATGAGTGCATAGAAGAGGACGCTGGCAACAAGACCTGGCACGCTGAGGCCCATTACGCTTTGGAGACCTGAAGGAAAAAGGTCGATTGTAGTACAAATTCAATTCTAGGAGACGCATTATTTTTGTGTGGAATGGTTATTATAGTCATCGGCAGGAATAAAACGACAGTGTTCCTCTTTCGGATGCCGATCTCCTGTAGGTTCTCTTTAGATTCCAATTCGCTTCGGTTGCGCGTACATGCTCGAAGAGTCACCGAGGCTTTATCGTTAGTAGGAAGGTCGCGCTGGAGGCAGGACAACTTAAAGTCATCCATGCCGTTCATACCCTCTCAGCGATTAAAGTGCCCATATTTGACACTTCGCACATATACATGGCTTCCACGTTACGTCAATGCATCGTGCTGCTGGTAATTAGAAATTTTTTTTCAGTGTGTATACGAGCGAACGCAAGCAATGTGCGTTTGCATTAGCGTTATACTTGTTTCACGCTTCGAGTAAGCGGAGCCCCCACTACGGTCTTGAGGTGGCGCACGAGCAGGACGCGCATGCGCAACGTTTTGCACCCAGCGTTAACAAAAGCGCACAGCGGATTAGTTTGCTCTTTTACTCAATACTAGAACTCTTTATTATTACTCGTTTTCACCCACAGAAACAGATTGGCTGGCGCAAAATGTAGGCTGAACTAGGCAGCGGCGCTAGCGATAGGATCTACTAGAATGCGCAGACGGCGACCAGGCAGTACAGACCAGTCTTTGGTAGTAACGCGTTACTGTAACTTTGTTACTTTTTCGGTAACTTGTAACTGTAACGAGTTACTTTCTAAGAACGTAACTTGTAACTGTAGTTCTATTACTTTTTCTGAGGTAACCATGAAAGTACCCCAGTAGCACAAACGTGCGGGCCGGCTTTGGGGCGGCCTCGGCGTTTTCCGACATTTTCAGGCGCAGCCGGAACTGGGCCGGAACTGTTTTGCAACATCAATCGGCTACGGGCCGTGTGCAGAGTTTTGCGGCTGTACCGCAAAACGCCGTAGCTGGGCCGGAGCCTTCCCAATAGCACAACCGTGCAGGCCGGCTCTGGGACGGCCTCGCCCTTTTTCGGCATTTTCACGGGCAGCCGACACCGGGCCGGAGGTGTTTTGCAACACCGAAGGGTTACGGGCTGCGCTGCACTGTCCGCACGTTTCGCTACAAAGGCTCGTTACGAAAAGCAAAGAAGGGAGACCGATATCGGTCTCTCCCTCTGGTTTTCGTAGCGGGTTATTGTAGCGAAACGTACCGGCGTGCGGTATTTTCGCTGACCTGCATCCCTCTGCGGTGGGATCTAAAGAAAGACATTTGCGCAAAAAATTTGACTAAACATTTTGTTTATTAGTGACTAGCTTATCACATGAAGGGTCGTACCAAAAAATAACTAATTTAGTGTCCCTTCTTGAGGCTCAACATGTTTTAACATATCCAGTTACGTAATTTCCAGGGTACAACATAGTTCTTTCTACTTAAATTACATCTGTCGGTGTGTCAGTTCCACGAAGTGCTCTGTTTTCCACTGTTGCTCTCATCACCTTTCGTCGTTTCTCCCGACCGCCTTCTCTGTCGGAGGCTCCTGAGAAAAATTTTCCAAAACGTTGTGCGATCCGTGTGCCGTCAGTGGAAGGAAAGCGTTTAAGCAGTACATCTGAAACACAAAGATACAGCGTGTACACCGCAGTTGTGACATACCAAGTCATTATGAGCATACAGTCTCTAGCCACATAACAGTCCCATTCGACAAGGTAGTTTCAGGTGGCGGTGTTGGAGAATGAACCCTTGTTGCAATCTCCCTCAAATTAAAGTGCATATGGCCATTGTGGGCCCAATGCCGCTGAAGAAACTGCCTTGTCGGAAGTTCTTTTTTCATATCGCGTAGGGCTGTACCTTACAGCTGTACATATATATAACAACAGGATGATTTCTATATGTTGCTACTATAGTGAATACTGCTTGATTAATGAGTTTGTGCGAAATAATAAAAAAACCGCGGAGGACGTGGACACATCCTTTCGATTATCTACAAACTACTCTGCTGTCTCAGTGAAAGAACAATGTTGTTTTTTCTGCTTTTTGTTCTTATCTTTTCGCGTAAATAATTATTAATATAATCAGAACTTCACGTCAAGCACAATGAATGAACTTCGGAGTAGGACTGGTTTGGTTGCCATGATGATGGATGACGATGAGAACACGCACGACTGATGCGCTTTAATGCGCTGAATGAAAATGCAGCCTTTCACTAAGAGAAACTACCTGAACTTTTCCGACACACCATCAAGATTTGAGTCTTACCCTTGCCAATCAAATTTGTAATTATTTCGAGATATGAGAGAAAACAGGTTTTACCTCGCATGTATCCACAGAGAGGCAGAGATTCAAAGCACTTTTTGGTGGTCGTGCCTTTGAGAGTGTACAGTAACATCACCTCGTTTGAGAGGAGTCGTTTTGTCATTATGACTACAGCATCTTTGAACGTCTCGCCTCCAAGACGTTCAAGGTAGGAGACCCGCAAGTTGAACGAGAACTGATAACAAAAAAATCCCGGGACAAAGTATGCAACGAACGCGATTCATCTCAAAAGAGGGTTCGTGGTCTACGCGTGGACTACAGGAAATAATTTCAACGTTACGGCCGCAACAACGGAGGCGAAGGGAGATAGGTGGGGCGCACGCAAGCTATTTGAGTCATTCATCCGCGACGATGCGTCAGGGTGCAACAAAAACCGTGGCCTCCTTCTGGAAGTATACATGGACATTCCGGATAGGTAGGGCTGCGTTGACCGAAACTTTCTCATTTTCCTGTATGCACTGATGACGCCCTCCGGTATGCGAAGCGAAACATTTATTGAGGTTGTTATTTCTGCTAGGTGAAATTGGTGTCCTAATTTTAATGAAAGTACATTAATATGAAGAGAAACAAGCGATAGGCAAAATAACCACGCTAAATAAAGAAATTGTGGTAGTGTTTGCGTCAATGTGTTTCAGCAGGATAGGAATGTATAGTATGCGAGAATCCGCCCAGTATGAAGGATTATATATCCTTGCCACAACGGAGGAATATGTATTGCAAATGTTATCTTGGAAATTTTGATGAAAGCTGGCAGAGAAAACGCCTTTCAGTGTAATGACGAAGTTGCATGTTTTGCTTAACATTTCCTTTCGAAATTCAGGGCGCCCAAGTTTAGGCTCCAGTGCAGCCACATCTTTTTCTGATGTCAGTGGGAAAGCAGGCAGCTGAGTGTCTAGTGTAGTTCCTGGACAGAGGCCATTCAGCTGTTGTTGTAGCCGTTGCACACGTGCCTCCAAGCTTTTCACGGTATTTTTTATTTCAACCATAAGGGTGAGAATCTTTTTAAAGAGAGCTGCGAAAAGACAATGTGGAGCTATGATTAGCGCATCGAAGAGGTTAGTCCGTGATGCAAATTAATGCAACCTTAGGTTCAAAGATATCCTTTGAATTTATGTTGCACGATATCACATGTAAGGAACAAAATGTTCAGTTTACTTACCACTCTCATCACGCTGGTTAACTACTGGTGCTTGAATACAGGCTCGTGCTGTTGTGTTGATGGTAGCGGACGAAACGACGTCAAAGGACTGCCTGCAGACCCCACTGCTCTTTGCTCCAGCAAGCAGAGAGGGCACAGATTGGACAGCTGGAGTGAGCGAAGGTCTGGAATGGTAACGACATAAAAACAGAATGTAGAAAATTACCCCAGTGGGGGTAATTTTAAAATGGTCAGTGCGGTATATTACGTTCTCAGGGTTATGAAAGTCCGAGGTTCCTCAAGGTCACTGTCAAGCTCATTTGCATCAACTGTTGACTCAGGGTCTATTGTAGACGTGTCCAGAGAGCGAGTGACTTTCTCGCATGCTTCTTCATAGGACGCTGAAAGCAAGCATTTGCGTTTTAAAAAGCAGGTATTAGAGTAGTTTCATTTCGAATGTGTTTTCCCGTTTTAAACTTACATGCATATCCAAAGACACGTATGGGGAACTTGCGCCATGGTCCAGGTAGGGAATAAAGTTTGATCATAAACTACCGTCTTCCACTTGTGACATTTGTCGGCCAGTAGCACTTCGTCAGCTCTTCGGTCAACCAGGAAAGCGGCACAGAGCTGGTCGCTTCTTCTCCCAAGAACCCCACAATTGCCAACCATTGGCCTGGTTTTGGATTCATGGCTGGTCAGCCTGCATGAGGCAAAAATAAAGTTGAACCTTGAGTGAATACATATATTCTGTTCTTCTATAACCTGGAAGGAAAGCAAAGCCTTCAAGTGCAGCCATTTAGGTTTGGTGGAAGCATTTTGAAAGCCTAAATGGTCGCGCTCAGTGTTGCACTCCAGTCAACTTCGCATTTTTAAATTTTGCACGGCACATACCAGTGGTCTAAATTGGCTGCGGTGTTTGGCCAGCGGCACGACTGCAAGGTTCTTTCTTTGTTAGCTCCATTTGTAATGATGTGAAATGCCTGGAGATAAAATATGCCAGTACGTCGAGAGGAGCGTTGACAACATTTTTCAGTCGTAACATCAATTCTGAAGAGACACATTACTGTAAATTTAAAGAAATGTCTCCGTGCACTTCACTCAGAATGAATAGATCTGTCAGGTTATCCATTAGCATTTAATTTCATGGCATGAAAGTTGGCACTTCGCAAGCAACTGCTGCGTGGCAAGGGCCACAATAAGGGTGCATCGCCTCTGTCTTAAAGGATTAATTTATTGAAGATTTCAACTTGCATTGAAGACTCACCAAACTTGGGCTCTGAGTGCAGTAGTGGGATAACTGCGAATACAGAAACGTTTGTGAGCGAATGTATGACATACAACAATGCAGGAGTAAAGTAAGTCACTGCAGTTAATTTAGAACCCAACGAACATTATTATTTTACTGCACATGCATTGCAAAACACTAAAAAAACGAACGAATAAAAAAAAATTCTGTAATACAAAAACACAGCCCCAGCCCGCCATGCTCACTAGGAACATATATCTTTAGGGAGTAATTAAGAACGTAGATATATGGCTTTACAATTGCCCGAGAAACACTCCGGCGTGCGTGCGGGGAATGGCAGGGCTAGATCATGTCAGCCACATCTACTTCTGCTCGAAATGCCCCTCGCGATCGCTGCAGGAAAAACATCCAGTTGCTCGAAAAGTCTTATTGTCGATGCGACCGATTGGGAGTCCGAAGTCTCTAGCTGCCAAGGCTATCAAATTCAACCGACGCTTTCTCTGAAAGAGACTTCGCTCTTATGCCTTTCGATATTGCCACTGTTTCGGGTACACGCAAGGACAACGGTGCAAGGTATACGCTTTAGGTGAGGAAACTGCGCGGCTAAATGTGCGGCGCGATCAAACGGATAACGTTCGGTTGACGAGTATCTGAAAGGCTCATCATCCGGCAGCCACCGTGCCCACGGCTGACAATGTCAGCCGTCGAAAGGCGCGACTGCCTGAGAGCAAAAACAAATCCCAAGAGCATGGGAGAAGTGTCCCGGGATGACTCCAGCTCTACGAGACATCTGCCGGCGTCGCTTAAAACCAAAGCGACGAGCCAACTTCCCTCTGGTAGCCGCGAAAAGCACACAGTCCACACCTAGAAATCATTAGCTAACACCGTGGAGAGGACAGATCTTGCTTTTTGGACCCCGATGTGCTGGCAGGAATATGCTTTCATTCGTTATGCTACACCAACCATAGCTTTGCTTTCAGGCTCCGGCCGCCGGCTCAATCAGCTATTTTATAGCACTGGGCGGGCACTGACATCAACTTCCGAACAAACAAGAAGCAAACAACACCAACTTTGCGCCGGCGCGGGCTCCAGAGCGCTCGAATGTATTCCGTTTGAGTGAACCTGGCGGCCTGGCCACCAGGTTCTCTCAAAGCGACGAAGCGCTGAAAACATGCAGTCTTCCCATTCTAACCGACACATATCGACGTAAGGCAAGCGCCCGGAACAAACTACAAAAAGAAATGCAGGTTAATTGAAGGAAGCGCTGTACTCACCTGCTGCCGTTATCCTCCTCGTTCCGCACCTTTTCACTTCTGCACAAGTTCGCGATGGCGTCGCCGGGCGCACGGATTTGGCGCGAAGTGCAGAAATGAACCGTTTGCGCATGTCCGTTGCAGCGGCTTGCCAGAATCTTCGAGCTCATGCCCGGAAAGGGCGAGGGAGCGCGAGACAGAGGAGGAAAACGTCGCGTGTCTCCTCCGGCAGAAAGCGGGAGTTTACGGCAACGAAAGACCGACATTTTTTTTTTGTTGTTGTTTTTTATTTCCGACGCCACGCTCTCAGGCGGGCGTATTGCCGCTGGAATCCGGCAATTTGCGCGCCGATATTGACCGACCCAGTCCCAGAATGCGCCGTGCAAACCCCAGATTCTCCCGGAGCTCTGTGCTACTGGGTTAACGACGTTACCTTTGTCGTTACTTTTCAGTTCTTTGTGAACAATATATCATAAACGAGCATAATCTAGCAATTCCTTGCACTTTCCAAAATGTCTGTTTCGACATTTCGAGTGCCAGTTGGCCTTGCACAAACTTGAGAATGCGTTCTTTCTCGCGAGTCACGACCCGAATATAGCCACCTGTAGATTTTATGAAAAGAAAAGGAAAAAAAAAGAAAGAAGAATGTAGTTATCTTTACGCATTTGCTTGCACTTTGTGACTGAACACTTACATCTTAGTATATTGAAACACTATCTCTGTTGCGTTTTTTTTTTTTTTTGTTTTTCTGTGCACGATTTTTAATCGAGTGAATAAACCGTGAAACAACAATACACGCGGAGGAAACTTCGTATGTTTCGTATTTTGATTAGCGCCACTACACTGCACTGCGCATGTTTCGTATTTGATTTGTACTACTCTGGCGTGGTTTCAACGGTGGAGGCAAAATTTACTGCTGTTGCGCAGGGCTTGTTTCTGGTTTGCCGGGTACGAACTGAAATATATCAAAGGAGTCCATGAACCCAGCGCAACCGTCAACGAGCCGGCAATGTGCTAGTGCTACCAAGGATATATCGATGTTGATGAGAACAGAACACGCAACTATAGCACGGCCGGCAAACAGAGTATATTTCTGTGATGAAGGTGGTTGTTAACTATTTGATCGCAGTATGCAAACTTTGCAACAAGGAGTACTCCGACAACAAGTCTTCGTGCTCAAATCTGAGATCCAGTTGAATTTTGGTGTTTATTTTTTTCATAATATTGACTAATTTTCCAGCTAAATTATCAAGTTTGAATTTACGGCTATGGTAGAAGCCCGACTGATTCGTGTCTATAATTTATTTTCTTTCAAACACTACTTTTTCCTTAATTTTTGTGCTATTGAAAGGTAACTGAAAGTAACGTCGTTACTTTTTAAAAGTAACCTTTAATTGTAACGAATTACTCTTTTGTTGCGGTAACTGTAACGGTAACTTGGCTACTTTTTTCTGAAAGTAACTGTAACTGTAACGAATTACTTTTTAGAAGTAAGTTACCCATGGCTGGTACAGACCACTCCGTCGTACGGAAACCGTGCTTTCGTGGGGTGTAGGGAAGGCATCCCGCTGCATGTTAGTACTCACCTTGAAACGCCTCTACTGCCGTCCTAACCGTCCACTCTCGGTCAGGTAGACTGCGTGGTCTTCGCGGTCTGGTCGGCATTTGCGCATTCTAGATTACATTACTAGCCACTGTACGCGTTCAGAGGCAAGCCTCCGTGAATTACCGCTGATGTGACGTTGGTGCAAATTATGTCTCTACTCGTTTTCACCTCGGGAGAAAAATATTTCTTACGCATTGCTCACACGCCGCGCGTGCTAGTTCTTACAATACTTGGTTGTCGGAGGAAGAAGCGATGCTTTTGGCGGTTGAAACGTGCACATCTTGGTAAGGTAACATATATATAATTTAAAGTGTACATACACACATATATTCTAATTCTCTACATAAATGAGTACATTAGTAAAGATTCTCTAGGAGCCGAACTTTTTATTTGCTAGGGCACTTGCAATGGAAGCTGGGAAAAGGCGAGGAGTTCTTGCTTAAGGCGGACCTGTTACTGCATACTTAACCTGCCACCGCCTAGAGTCGTTTTTTATGACAAAGTAGATCGTGCTTCTTCGCTGTGCTTTCCGCTAAATTTCGCGCAATACGTAGCTCCGGCCTCCAAGTCTGGTGACCGATATTTTGCGCGTCACATGTTTCCGACGCTAAATATTGTAAGACGCAGGTTCATTACATTTAGTATATATGTGATGGTTTTCGTGGCGTCCCGTAACCTGTCTATTGATCCCAGGTCATGTACACTTTCTGTGTTAAAAACAGCACAAAAAGAAAGTTCAGGCCCCCAACAAACAATGGTGCTAGAACGTTTCACATCCCCAGAATGTGGTCATTCGATTTCCGCCTTGTGACGTCATAAAAGTGTTATGCTCTAGCCGGACACGATCTTGGCGGTCTCCCAGCAGCGGCGGTGGATGGGGCAGACAACTGTTCTGCTGCAGGTCGCACTCATATGAAGCCGTCCACGGATGCTTTGGCAGTCAGACTTTGGGACGCCGCGACGACAGCGACGCTCGCGTTTCCTCGTGCTTTTCGCCTGCATTTCTACCACCAACCGCCAGGATCGCGACGTTTGACAGCATGGCGCTCCGGTTCCTGTGACGTCATTTGTTGGCGCTCCGGGCCGACTTTTGATGTATGTCCGCGATGGGACGTTAAAACCCCCAGTCGGAAACGCGTTCTAGACGCCATTGCCCAACTCCCGTGAACGCACAGTACGTTCAATCTCACTATGAAGTGCTGAACAGTCTAGGTCACTGGACATGGTAAACGTCTTCCCTAAATTTAGTGGGAGAAGGAGGAACTACCTGTACTTGACGCCACATCTGTCCGTGTTGATGTGTATGCATGTGACGCCAAACCCCATCCGTTTCTTTAATAATTCTGCCTCAGAATCACAACACGAGCAGAAAACATATTAAAAGCTAGGAAGAAAAAAAAAAGGAATGAATTGTGACAATTTTGTGACCTTTGGCGTGCACGCATTCAGGGACGCATGTTCGTGAGAATACAACAGGGACGTGTTTTCGCATATTACATGGTAATGTGCGAAAACATATTTGTGGACCCCAAATTCCAACCACTTAGGTTAGAGTCCGAATTGAGCTATACCAACTAGTGCCATCATATCCACGAGAAAAAACTAACGTTCTTGATTGGTTCCCGTGTTAGGTCTTTGTTTTCTGGTTTCCGTGAAATCCGCTTTGGGTGAAAGCCGCAAATGAACCTAGCTATGGACCCAGCACACTGGACCGCGAGAAGCAGAACCAGGTGGTGCAAGAAAGCGCGCGCAGTGAAAGAAGTGGAAGGGGCAAAAAGAGAATAGCAGAAGCAGGTGGTGTGAAAAGAGCTCGCCGAACGAGGGAAAGTGGAGAGTGCAGGAAACCACGCGTTTCCTTATATGGTGACCCAGAAAATGCAGCGTAACGACTTTGTATCCGCGTGGTTTCCTGTCGTAGTCTGTTCCCATATAAAACCCTGTCATAGGCACCACCTGAACGAAAGGCACCACACAGCCCAGGCACTGAAATCTAAAATTCATCTTGCCCCAGGCACCACCTGAATTAAGAGCGCCACTCACCCTATAGAGCTGTCGCATTCAAACACAATTTGCAGACTGAGAGAGCATGAAGCCAAATTGTATGACACGCCATTGACGGTTACATGCGTACAAAGTATGTTGGACTAAGTACGACAGGACACTGATGGTCGCCTCCGTAGCAACTATGCCGGACTATGTAACACACGCCGCAGAAAGTCGTCAACTACCCTAGTTCCTAAGTGACACTTAGTACAGCTGCTCACTGCTTCATTCACTTCCTGACTGTGGAGCCAAATAAAGAGGCATGATATGAGTACACGGAAAGGGAAGGGGGGGGCGGAAGCTGCTCACTTAGTCTGTCGCTTCCTGCTTGTGGAGCCAATTAAAGAGGCATGATATGAGTACACGGAAAAGGGGGGAGGAGGGAGCTGCTCACTCTTTCTCTCACTTCCTGCCTGTGAAGCCAAATAAAGAGGCATGATATTAAAACACGGAAAAAGGGGGGGGGGGGGGGCTGGCTTAGTGGTGTCGCCAATCAAGTTTTTCGCTTACGCAGATGATGTGTTGAGTTGTCAGTTCTTTGAGGCCAAAGCTACGGCGTGCGCTCACGCACAATAAAATGTTCTGTAGAGCGTAAAGGGCGGAGATAATTATTTAAAAGAAAAAAATCATCCGGTGTTTGGCTGCGATCATGGCCGTCGATGTCAGAAATTGTTTTGCCAGTTCGGTGGACCGCCTCGTTGTTTAATTACTTGTGGGTCAGTCTAGATTTAAACAAGCTATAATGCGGAGGAGGAGGCGTGAGGCTAGGTGCCGCAGGTTGGGCGGGTACGGAGTTGCAAGAAATAGAAAAAGAATTCTTTTAAGCCAAAGCTACGTATGGAACGCGGTACTTTTTGTGTATGGTATTCATTTTCCGCTGCGGCTTACCAAACGATTGAAGTAAAAACAAATGCAACGCGTCTGTGGGACGTTTGTTTGGAATTCTTGTTTGGAAAGAACGCGATGTTCAAATATTTTTTAGTCGACAGAAAGGCGGTCTAGGATGTGTGAATGTTGACTTCAAAGTGAAAATGCACTGGTTTGTGCTTTTTCGGGCTAAGTGGTGATCTAATACTTTGTTCATGTGCTTGCTTTCTTGTCACGACTGTTCAATCAAAGTATCTCACGTCAAGAATAAAGTTCCTGAGAGACATTTTTGCTGTAATCCCACATCTACTTTAACAACATGTATTGCTTGCCTCTCCTAGTTCGCATGCAGAACTTCTTAAATCATCTTGACACATCGTTTCTTGACATTTTGGATTATGACATTTTGTCGTTCAAGAGGAGCATTCCACTTTTGTTACAATGTGTTTTTGCAGCGTTGTGTTGAATACTTTTTCATGCGCTTCCGTTTTAGGTCGAGGTCTGTTGGTGGGTAGAATAAATAAATTCATATATAATAAATATATGATACCTGCTGATATTTAGCGGACGCTGGGAGGGCTGTACCTTTCTTTGCGGATGGACGCTGACAGCAATTACGGCGCAGTCAAGCGGGCACCTGATTTAAGTTATTACGGAGAAAACGCAGAAGCTAATAATGCTATTGAAAGCATTTAAAAAAAAAATATTTGAATAAAGAAGAGAGGAAGCGTTTCTATCGGGACACCGCTAAACTGGTCATGCCATCGCCCCTCTCTCGCCTTAGTTTTACAAAAGCTGACGTAACTGACCTGTTCGGCAGGAAATTAAATACAACTTTGTCATATTTCAGATGGAGGTGCTACCTGTAAAAACCTGGAAAAAAATGAGGTTGTGTTTTTTTTTCTTCCGCAGGGCACTAACTGTTCACGTTGCCCCTTTGCTGTGAGGCTAGAGCATATGCTTTCCTTTACTACGCTAATGCCGAACTGTTTTGGGTGCCACTTCGCGCGGAAATCAAGATTCATCTTTAACCAGCATAACATAATTTAAATTATCTTGATGTGGGAAAGAAAAAAAAAGACGGCATAGGTCTAGAAATATTATTATAACTTGTAGCATATGCCGTGTGATATTCTGGTACTGAGCACACTTTGGTAAGGGGGGAAGGTCACCCGGCATGGCCTTATCTTATTCCGAGAGTTAACTATATAAGGTCCTTATTTAGTTAGCTAGAGAGATCGAGTTCCCAAAAAACCTACACTTGGGATACTGTAAAGGCCCGATTTAAATAGCACGAAGTCCATCTGCGAATGCACAAAAAACTTGTGTCTTAGTACCAGGCACGCTTTTCATTGTTCACCTCTTGTTATCGGCGTTGCATGACGTTGAGTGCAACATTGCAAAATTTGCGTAAATTGCTAAGCAGTCCTTTTGTTTTTTAATGGAGCCAAAGAGAAGTCGTGGCAGAGTTGAGAGTGCAGGAGCGGTGCATCCCGGGAAGGTGGTAGCGATGATAGGCAGACTGAATTAGACGTGAAATTTCCTCTTGCATCCACCAAGAAGAAACCTGAGTCTACCCAGTCTAAACGGAAATGTAGATTGAATGGAACAGTCCGTAGAGCACATGTAAAACAGGTTTCACGAATTTGAGAAACATAACAAACCAAACGACCGATATTAAAAACCTAAAACGAGAAAGAAGACATTCGAACTGAAGTATGAGACCAGCTAAGCATTACAGGATGTGCTCCAGCCAGGGTTGTATGAGCTTCAGTTTCGAAGCAGTTGGCTCAATATAGAAGTCCACAGAATTACAATGACGCAAATTGACAGCCTGCATTTTTCGCTAGATGAGGTGGCTGACAAGCTTGAGCGCTCTCATCTAACAGCGTCTGATGTTGTACCTGCTCATAGGCCACCCGGGAAACAAGAATACGTCCGTGGAGTAATCGTTATATATATTAGGCAACAGAACAAGAATGATGGGACAGAAAAATAAAATCAAACTTAAGAACACTGCCCAGCAACGTTTCATTAAAAAAAACTTCAGAAAAAAAGGAAACAAAAAAAACACACAAAAACTACGCCATTAGTTGGTAAAAAACGAAAAAGTTTTGGTTCGGAAAATTGACAGAGCACTCCTTATTTACATTAAAAGCAACCATGACCTTCATAAAAAAAATTAATGAATTAATTGTGCAGAGTTTGAGGGGACACATGCATTTACAATGAACAAAAACGTCATTATTAGCCGAAAGATGTGAATGTGATTGTATCTCAGTTTCCACCTCTTTTAATGAATGTAATAATTTAAACACAAAGTCGACAGATTTCTCGTGTTTAAATTGATTATTTATTAAATTTTGTTTTCCAATTCCCGTTATTATGCAACCAATACTTAAAGCACAAATGAGCTCGATGCTTCGGCGAAGGGTCAATACAACCCTTAGCTGAGGTGGCGGGGTTGCATTGCTACGTTACGACAATACTGAATGTACATTGCTTGATTGTTACAGTGTGATTACTCCTGATTATGAAAAACTTTCGCTGTGTTTAGGGCAATGCTTTTTGCTTGCTATTGGCCACAAAACGGAAATATATATATATATAAAGAACACTTAATATTCTACGATTACTTTCTTGCTTTTGTGGTTGAAAATTAAAAATAAAAACTAAAACTTTAATTGCAGGTGCAGATTTTCATACAGATATGAGTAATACCCTTCCGTCAGTCAGAGAGTTTGACACACTCATATTATCAGATGAATGATTTAATGCGATTGATGTACCAACAAGCGTTGCAGCTGTGCATCAGTCCGTCCTTTAGTTGTTTTTGGAAACGTTGTGCGTTTGAATTTTCAAACATGAACTACATCGTAATCATGTTCCTGTATTCTTTTGCGCGGGGAAAAAAAGCAGGATAGCGGTAAACAAACCCCCACAGCTATTTTACCAATCACCTACAGAGATTACGCTTAATGCTTTCTAGGATGGAATATCGCAGACAAATTGGAGCCAAAAGGGCAATTTAAAGCAACCCTATGAGGCTAATATTTCGTTTTTGAGCAGTTTTATGCTGGGTATTTTCAGATACGATCGAACAACCATGTCCGGCGATCATTTTTAATTTTGATAGAAAAAATATTTTCCTGGCCCCATGCCCGGAAGAATGCAACAAATCATTGTTTTGGAAAGAAAAAAAAAATTGTCTTTGCGAAAACAATTTGTATTCACCCTCTCAGCCATGTGCGCGTTTTGCGTATTGCGTGATGTTGGCGTTTCGGGCTGCTTCAGCCCAAAAAACTGTTCTGGCTTCGGCTCTAGAAATATCTACTGAAAGCTAGGCATAGGAATGATTGAAAAAAAGTATTAATGACCCAGTACCAGGGTTGTTATTTTGAGAAACAAAATCGCAATACAGCACATTGCGCAAAAACGCTCGAGGTGAACGATTTTTTTTTCTCCGTATCTATAAAAGCCAAGGTCTCAAAACGTTTCCAGTGTGTCTCGGTGTATGTAGTTCATTGTTACAAAAAATATTGTTGTCCTCGCTAGCGGGAGAAAAATACAAGAATGGTTCACAGAGGAATATCTGAATATGCATCAAAAAGGCCATTTTTAATATTCTTTAAAATCTCCGAAATTCACGTTTACAATATGTTCAAACAGAATCTGCATAGACACAATGCGATATTTGTGGGGCTTAGAAGTTATAAAACGAGAAATATGGCCAAATTGACGCCAACGCAGTTGCCATAAATGGGGTGTACACACACCCGTTCTTCACACTTTTATTACTATTAAAAAGCGTAAAAATGCTACGGGGTTGTCAGGAAAAGACAAATTGACAGCACAGAGGTGGACGGTAAATTTGAAGGGAAAATTCCTAATACATTTTCGTACAACCGACTCGAAAACGCCCATGGGCCGGAGCGATCAAGGTAACCCTGTAACATGCTACTCGGTGCCTGTTTCAGCAGCCGGTGTGTAGCGTCGAAGGAAGAAACCGGAGTAACTTTGCAAACAGATCAGCCTACAACCTTGGCGGTAACATGATATAAAAGGATTAGCGGCACAAAACCTGTGCCGCCTGTGAGCGCCAATAGATCCGCCGCCGCGGAGGGCCCCGCAGCGCACAAAGGAAAAAGCTCTCAGCCTTTCCACTTTGGTGAAGAAGGAAGACCTAGGGTGCCTTCATGTGCGCTTCGCATAGGGTGATGCCAACTGCCCGTTTCCCTTTCCCAGTCCCTCTCCCACCGCCATTTCGGTTCTCCATTGTTTCGCCGTGCGCTGGAAAGTGGCCTTTGTGTCTATAGGTCG